CAAAGATCATAAAGAAAATAACTACTTGTTTTGTTTTTTATTTATGTTGAATCTTTGTTAAGTTTGAATGTTATAGAATAAGTAAAGACATGCAAAGATCATAAAGAAGAGGACTATTTATTTATTTTGTTCTTTATTTAGGTAGAATTTTTTGTTTAGTTAAGTTTGAATGTCAGAATAAGTAAAGACATGCAAAGATCATAAAGAAAATAAATAATTACCTGTTTTGTTTATGTTGAATTTTGTTAAGTTCAGAGTGAATTTCATAGAATAAGTAACGACATGCAAATATCATAAAGAAAAAAGGAATAATTATTTGTTTTATATTTATGTTCAGTTTTTGGAAAGTTCTGCAGGAATATAATTTTTTGTATGAATTTGGAAGGCCTTTAAGTTAAAGCACTGTCCTAAAGTCTAAGAAGATTCAAGAAATCAGAAAAAGGAAGATATCAGTCGCGTTTGTAAAAAAAAAAATGTTAAAACACAGAATAAAAGCTTTTTGCAGCATAAAATTAATCTTTGAAATTTTCTTGAAACAAATGTTAAAAGTCTCGTCTCATCTTCGCAAACTCATTATTGTGTCTTGTCTCGAGAGTTTACACCCCTGCTTTTCAGTCTGCCTGCTGCTGCTGCATGAAGCTGTGAAACAGTTCCTCTGGTTTTGCTCCACACGACACAAACCGGTGAGCTCATGACTTTCCTCACCTCTTCATGCAGGACAGATCCGCCCGAATTAGAATGGTTGAAAACAACTTTTTTTCTTTTTCTTTTTTACAAATGACCAAAATTGCTGACAGCATATGGATTCTCCTTAAATTACACAGATTTCCTCCCATTTAACAGACGTATAAATCTCAAGGTTTTTTTTTTTCAAAACTCAGCTTCATATTAAATTTATGTTTCAGAGCCTGTAGGATACGAAAAATAAAAATAAATAATAAATAAAATTAAACACCTACAGATTTTTGAGGTTTGGGGTGCAAATAAACATCCGATAAGTGTTGACATGTGACAGAGAACTTTAATTCTTATCGATTTTATTGGTTGACTATGTCCAACATTTGTAAATACCACTGTCTATGAGCCCCAACTAGTTGTACTACTTCCACATACAAATTAGTTTAATTTCAACAAGTAGAAGTCATGGCAAAAACAATCAAAAAAATAAACAACTTTGGAAAACAATCGCAGTCACTCTGTTCAATACTTCTCTCCTTCACGTTTGACATCCATTGTGGTATTCCCACAAGATTAGGTTGCAATTAGTTGCAAAGGGTCAATCCTTGTTTGTGCACTCATCTGAATTTTCTCTTCTGTTATTTTTTAGTAGCAAGATTTTAAACTTTTTAATGAGAAAATATATAACATTGTAATAAAATAAAATCAGTTCATATTAATGGTTTTGTTCTAATTTTAAAGCACAAAAGCAGACAGCTATTGTATTCTGTTTTGTTCAGTAACAATAATTTGCTGGTGTTCACATAAGCTGATGAGATTTTGGTTTTAGTTTTGATGAACACTCTCTAGGAGGCACAGTTGCCCCCAATTTCTGTTCCCTACACATCAAGTCTGTTTTACCGTGTTATCAAGCTCACCTTGGCTGCATGTGTTTCATGACTCCATGTGGCTTTGACTGTGACTGTAATTGTGCCTGCAGATGCCTTTGTGTGTGTGTGTTTTAAGAGTTTTAATGGAGAGGAAGGGTGTGTGTGTGCTCACATAAAACACTGAGGTTGGAAACATTCTGATGTCAACAGCAAAGCAAGAAATAGAAAACACATTGAAATCTTTGGCGCTGAGGACAAGCGTTCAGGAGCCAGGCTAAATCACCGCATTGAGCCCAGCTTTGCATGTGACAGGGTGCATTGTGGGATTGTTTTTATCCTCTCTTTGCAAAAAAAGTCAATTCAGAGAGGTATGTCCCATTTGAGGACACGCAGTCAATGCAGGTTGTACCTATTAGAGCAGCTTAGTAACTCAAGAATCTGTAATTTAAAAGCAAAAAGAAGAGGAGGGAGGATTGAGGAAGAAAGTAAGACCAATGCCATAACTCAGGGGCTCCCAGAAGGCAGCTTTGAGGATTGGGCTGGATGACAGAACAGGTTGTCGTCAGAGTACTGGTAATAACATGCTCCATGTCAGATATCATAATGAACAAACTACACTCAGTCCTTTTGTTGGCTCATAGTTAGCATCAGAACTAATCCCAAAACAGTACTGAGAAGTTAGTATTCATGTGTGTATTTTTGTGTTTTCAGAGATTTTATTATTTTAATTTTACAAAGGGAACGACTGAAGATTTTAATGTAAGAAAAGGGAACCAAAAAAATGACAGAAAACTGTACCAACCTCCTCCTCAGTTTTCTTCTTTGTGTGTGTGTGTGTGTGTGTGTGTGTGTGTGTGTGTGTGTGGCTGGCAACAGAAACAAAACCCAGGAAACTGTATCCTATCACTTAAATGGTTAAGTATTTTATGAGTAAAATGCTTCCAAATGCCGCTCAAAAACCTTCCAGACCACACCAAAGACAAAATGAGGTAATATTACGTTTCTGAAAAGTCCCCAGTATGATACCCCAACTCTGCAGTAATTGCATCAGAAAAATGGTGCTCAAGTCTCTCTGTTACATGTCAGGCCATTTGACTTGGCAAAAAAGCTGCTTTCATTAAGAGTGTGTGAGAGAAAACCTCTCAAATTTTTCTCAGCTGAAGCTTTATACATGTACAGAGGAAAGTAAAATATGAATGATACAAGATCAGGAAAAAAACTTCCTTTTGTGTAGGGTTTAACAGAATGGAAATTCACCTGCAACATAGAGTCATGATTAGACAAAAAAAATCTTAAATGCACCAACAAACTTTTTAAATTACACTTGGTACCGCTTATTGTTCACTAAATTATTCCACAACGTAGTATTTCACTGCTGTTGAAGAATAATTGGTGACTCAATATTTTGGAAATATAAGTTTTCATTTGCAGCTCTTCTATATTTTGAGTGGTGGCCGCAGTCACTTGTTGCAAAAACTAAATAATAAGTAAAACTGTAATAGAGCATTTATATTTTAGGGCTCTAAAACTGGACAAAATCGCAGAATTTATCAAACAAAATGACACTCTGTATAAAACTTGGAATCTCATGGAATTCACTCATTTGGGCGGGTTTCTGAGGTATTTTGGCTGTTCCGACTCCCTGTACCTGCTATTACCTGGTTATGCATTTGTGGGCTTACCTCTCCACACAGGCAGGGGAAAAAAAAGTCAGTCGTAGTGAAGAGGCTCACTGAAACACTAATGTCTTCCAAGTATCAGGTTTACAGGTAATGTCAAAAGGTGAGCAGCCCTCTCTGCCTTCCTCACCCATCTGTAATTAATAATTTGCCCCTAGCACTGGTGTTGCCCATTTCCTCTCTCCCTCAGTTTGTATTTAACCGGTCTCTTGTCACCACTTCCTTGTTTGTTCATTGCATTGTTTAACCTGGCTCTCTGTTGGTGTCTCTAGCATTAAGCTGAGTTTACACTGTGGGGTCTCGTCCGGTTCTCCGGGGCCCTTCAGCGATGTGGACCTTTCTCTCGTCTCCGTCTGTTGGTGGCTGAATCCGGCTGATTCGCTGGACAAACAGAGATCGTCCTCCTGTAGACTTGTTGACGGTTAAAAAACTCTTAGGCTGACATATAAATGAAAAAAGGCGATTTCTTCAGCTTCTAGACATGTTTATTGAGCGAGACATCTGGAATAGGTCTTTAACAGCATGGTGACATGAAGAACACTGAACAAAGAGCGCGTGTCCGCTCCATGCGTGCTCCGGTCGGACGCGCTCACGGTCTGACGCTCGTTCACATTTCTTAAAGGGCTAGGGCATAAAATATACCACATATCCCCCCTTCGATTCTTTAGAATCGACAAATAATCAAACATACATACATCTCGCATAAATACACATTGTCCAGCTGAAAATTTTCATTTGCATAATAAGGTAAATAAGATTTAAACTAAA